CTCTGTGGGGAGAAGCCGGCATAGCTCCCCTCAACCACCCAATACTTCAAAGCCTGTGCCTTCAGGCTCCAACCCGTCAAAGGCTTCTCTTCCTTTACAGGGTTACCCAGGCGGCAGCAGGCACTCAGCTCTGGGCACATCCCGACACCCCCTTAGTTAATGCAGGCCAAGTATGTGCCTCGAAAGGGCAGGAGTACACAACGAATGTAATCAATATGCACTACAAACATCTACTAATAAAAATTTTGGGGGGGCTGGGGATTTAGCTCAGCGGCAAAGCGCCTGCCTGGCAAGCGCAAGGTCGTGAGTTCGGTTCCCGGTACCGGAGAAAAAAAACAAACAAAACAAAACAAAAAAACAAAATTTTTTTTTTAAATAAAAGGACAAGCGTAACCAAAACGCATGCTTTCATCCAATTACAATAAAAGCTACTACTCAGAATAATGAAGTCCCATCCTGGGAAAGTGAAAATCATTTTACTATCTCAAGTCCAAATTCAGTCAATTATACTACTGGAAATTCCATCAATTTAACTCATACCAACGAAGTTTGCTAGTTAAAAGCCAGAATATAAGAACTTTTCTCTGACAGGGACTGTATTCATCTTAAAAATTAGGAACGGGCCCCGGGTGTGGTGATGCACAATCCCAGCACTTGGCGGGGCTGAGGCAGGCCTGCCATGAGCTCCTGGTCAGCTTGGGCTACACAGTGAGTTCAAGGCCAGCCTATACAGTGAGACCCTGTGCCCGCCCCCACCCCTGCCCCGCAAAAGGAACAGGGAATGGAAATAAGGGAGTACAACAGTAGCGACATAAAGAGAGTGAGAGAAGATAGGGGCAGTTTTCATTAATTAATCTTGTGTAAATTTAAAATGTTACCAGGAAGGACTGAAAACTACACAATATTTTATACAAGTGTGAGTGGGACCAGAATGTTGGGTAGTCTCTTAATAAGTCAGGATTTTGGTTTTTTGTTTTGTTTTTTCTTTCTGGCACTGGAAATTGAACCTAGGCACTCACGCATGACAGGCAAGCACTCTAGAGCTGAGCTACATCCCCACACACCACACCCTTTTTCTGAGACATTCTTGTTAAATTGACAGGGTGGGCCTTGAACTTGCAATTTTCCTGTTTCAGCCTCCTAAGTAACTGGGATTACAGGTACATGCTACCAGGCTCAGAGGAAACAACATTTACAATAAACATGACAATTCTTTAATTATGTGTAAGATTTACTCATTGCAGAAATTAAGGGAATACTAAAGAAACCCCTAGTTTCTTCTAAACTCTTGGTTTGAAGGCTTATAAAGGTCACTATCAGCAAACAGTGTAGCCAGATCTTAAGCTAATTTCAAGTGTGTTGAGAGGTCCTACCAGTGTATATAAATGATCTTAGTCTACAGGTTCAAGGAAGGCCTCTCAGAGGACCTACCTTTGAAGTGTGACCTGAGGACTAATGAAAAGGCAGCTGAGTGGAGGCTAAGGAGGAGGGACCAACAAGTGCTTAAGGTGAAAGAGCAAAGGACTTCACTGAGCCGGCTACAGCTAGGAGGGGGCACCTGGTGAGGTGAGCCTAGAGAACCAGTTCTGCAGGAGCCAAATCAGGGGCTGCGTGGCCTTAGAGCCACTTTAAGTGGGCAAAGGAAGCCATAGTGCAATGATGGAATTATTCTAATTTTAGAAGTCTGGTTTCGCTGTACATACTTCCTATTCCTAGGCATTTGTATGCTAGGATCAGTTAAACTTACTTTAGTCCTGGGCAAACCTCAGTTCCCTGCCATGTTTAACACTCCAAACCCTGACTTAACTAAGTACTAACTACATTATCAAAATTGTTGCTAAGCATTTTATGTATATCTTTATTTAGTCTTCATATTCACAAGAAGTAGATGACAAAACTGGTTAAGCACCTGTCCAAAGTCACACAAGTAGAATATAAAACAGGATGCAAATCCAAGGTGTCTGATCACTCTCTAGCAATAGGGTTTCAGGTATGACACTACTCTTCCCGTTAAGAAACTTGCAGTCCAGTGGGCAGGCAGTACTCAACAGACAGGAAACTGCCAGACAGCGTGATATCAGACAAACATGAGACCTAATGTAAATTCTCCATGAAAATAGTGTTTAAGCGGGATGGGAGGCTGACGGGCTGTGAGTTTTTAAGAGTGCTGCAACCTGCACACTTTATGAACATTTATAAGCCAGCCATACTCACCAAAGTGAAGTTTGCAAGTTTGCCAGCTGTGAATATGACATCCCTTTCTCACATTCATAAGGTCCCTAAACACAAGCCAAACCTAAACTTTCAAGATTATTCTTCATAAAAACCACATGGAGCTGGGTGTGGCAGTGCATGCTTGTAATCCCAGCACTCGGGAGGCTGAGGCAGCAGGATCGTTTCGAGTTCGAGACCAGCCTGGGCTACTAAGTGAGCCCAAGGCCAGCCTGAACTGCAGAGCCAGACCCTGTCTCAAAAAGACAAAATAAGAAAAAAAAAAACAAAAAACAGAAACACATGGAAATTTTCTATAAACTCAAAGGGAGAATAGTAAAATTCTGTGAAATCAAAATATGTAAAAATAGGCACCATAGTCAATATGTACCTACTGGCAAAGGTCAGAGCCATGTCTAGATAAATGCAAACAGCCGTAACCTATCTGCTCCCCATGAAACTTTGCCCTTATTACAACTTTGCTGTATTCCCTGTCAACAGGGAAAATGTTTCGTCTGTGTATCTTCCCAAGTCTACACATCTGTCACCTAGATGTTGCTTAATAAATCTTTGATAAGTATATCAATTCCCACTGTTGCCTGGACTGGATTGGATTCCCACCTCTTTCTGAAAACTAAAATAATGCCAAGGTAAAGCACCCATATAATTACAGATATAGCCTCCTTTCCTCCCTCTCCTTCCCTTGCTTCAAGGTGAAAAAAACACCACTCTCTCCTAAATACTTTTCAGTCTAATCGAAATGAGAGAAACACACAGTCAACTTTTGCTATTGTGTGGATTCTGCTTAAAATGAGTGTTCTCCTAAAGGATTTCTGTGTCAAAATGTCTGTTTAATTTACTCCATGTAACCCTGCCAATGGCTCTAACAATGTTTTTGTATGTTTACATCATTAGGGTACCATCCGACCTCTAGTGGCGTTGTTGTTAAGGGACACGGTGCACCATGGTTACTCTGCTTTTATATTCTGTATGTAAACATGTTGACTAGTCAAAAAGCTACAATGAAAAATAAAACACATACCACTGAAAAGTCTAGACGGTTAAAATGGGAAATTGATAGCTAGAAGTTTCATCTACTAGAAAAAATGATGCTTCCCTTCCACTGCTATTCTTTTAGTGTCAGTAACTTCTCTGACCTGCTCTAAAAATCTCCCCTCTAGATCTAGTCCTCTTCTCTATTTCAACTGCCTAATTGTGACATCTCTGTTATAATTTCATTTCCAAGTTCAACTGCCACCCAAAGCTGCTCTCTCCATGCTTCTGACCGCCTATACCTGGGAGGGCATCGTTCTTACACCATTCCAGGCATACTCACTCTGGGTTCTCTTTATAGACGTGCATTTTTAAGAGTTTATAATGCTTTATTATGTAGTTAACAAAACTACAGAACTGAAAACCTACTAGTATAGGAAAAAAAGTTTAAGAGACTGCCTTCCTGTGTAATAGCTCTAGTGTTCCCAGAGATCATGTGAAAGTGTTAGACTATCACATATCCAAGGGCCCAACCTCATTATATTCAACTATCATTATATTCTATATACTATTTATATTTCAAGTATCTTATACAAATAGTACTATGAACACCACTCTCACAAAGCTGATCTCAGAACACAGAACTGCATCTGTTTCAGTGGAAACAGGCAGAAAGTTGTCCAATTTCTCTCCCAGCCTCTATGTGGCCCAAAGCTCTCATCTGTGGATAAGCAAAGATGTGGAGTTACTCTGAGATGAAACCCAAAAGTCCTGGCTTCATTACTAACGGGTTCTGCTTAGTTAGACTACTCCACATGCACCTCTAGAAAAACACCACTCACCATACTCCTCTCCATTATCTCCCAAGGAGGGCAGAACTAAGGATAAGCCCTAAATCACTGGCTTCACATTAGCATAGCCATCTTCATTTGTAATATTTTTAAAAAATGTTACGGGTGACTGCCTGCGACTTTTCACGAGAAATAAAATATCAAAACATAAAATGAAGACCAACTCACAGCTAGATCTCCAAACTATGGATAGTCACCATCTCCTGAAGTCAGTGAAAATACCATCTACTGGATGCCTGAGTGAAAATGCGGCTTGCATTTGGCTGGGCTTATTAATCCAGACAAGGCTTTGATGGTCACCATTTTGCAGTTTTCCCGGAGAAACCCAACTCTGGAGGCACAGTACAGACCCCAAGTCACAAGGAGCGCGGAGCACGTGCCAAAGGCCACCAAATACTGGTTTGTTTGGGATCAGTGAGAAGAAAGCAAATGAATGAAACCCAAACATCACTGACTTGGCCCCGCTTCTGGCGGTGCCTCTGTAAGGGGGCCTGGAACAAAGGCTCTGTGTCTAGTGACCCCCACGGTGACTGGCACAGAACAGGACATCATCTGCGGAACCCACGAACAGCAGCTCCTTTCACCTGAACCTCCGCAAAGCTTCCTCTCACAACTCTGTGCACTTCGTCCTGATCGGGCACTGTCGACCCCCTATATTGATGGGCAAAGCGTGGCTCAGGACAAACCAAGGCAAGTCCGTGCCAGGGGGCGGCTCACTAAAACACCGCAGCGCTCACTCCCCGGTCACGCGCACACCACAGGCACCCCTGCTCCCCTTACACGACGCCCCCACCGCGCGCCTCAGTCAGCCAGGCAGGGGACAGCACCGCATCGGCTTCCCGCCGCGACCGGGGCCCGACCCGCAACACCTACTCCCCGCCCCGTCCCTGGGCGAGCCGGGGGCGCGGGCCCGGTCCCGCCCGGCCGCTGCCCGCAGCCTCTGACCTTTTTGTCCCAGATTTGCAGGGGCTTGCTGCCGATGCTGTAGAGGATGGAGAGGAAGCCGCTCTGGAACGTGTTTTTGAACATCTCGCCTGCCGGCGGCCTTCCCCACAGCCGCCCCGAGCGACCGGCTCCGGAATAGGCACGAGCAGTGAGGAGCGAAGGAAAGGCAGGGGATGCCGAACTCCCGACCTGCAGTCACCGGCGGCTGGACCTGGACGCGGGTCGCTACGTCGCCAGCTTCGGAGCCACCTCCGAACCGAAACCACAGCAACTGTCGCTCCGCCACTCACCTAGCCTTAAATGGAGGCAGAGGGCAGCCCGCGGTTTAAGATGGATCCCCCCACCCACCTGAGCCCGCCCCCCGGGAGCGCGGGGCCCAGTCCCAGCGCAGGAAAAGCGACTTCCGGTTCCTTCCGCCCGCAAGCCCCGCCCTAGTCCCGCCCCTTCAGCAAAAGAACTCTGTTTCCAAGGGACTATTTTCCCATCTGTGTCCCAGATTTGTTTCAAAACAGCGGAAGGAGACGAAGGATGATGGCACGTGCTGTTAATGCTACGTAATGTCATGGAAACAAGGCCGGGCGAAGCTTCGGGATGGGGGAGGTGACTGCCAGGCCCCGCCCCCTGGAGGGCGAGGCGGAGTTACACAGTCAAAAGGACAAGACTTAAAAACGATCGCAAGTTTCAGCTCCATCTCGGCAATCTAGCGAGACCCTGTCACAGAATAAAAAATTTTTTTAGAACTTAAGGATGTAGTTCGGTACAAAGGCCCTGGGTGGAATCTCTAGTACCCCAAATAAAACAAAAACGATACTATGAGGAAAATATGTCGCCTTGATTGTACTGGTTAGAAAACGAAGATTAAGATAAAATCAGGAAATAAAATTAAAGTTGAATTGCTTGCATTGAACAAAGAGCCGATTTTTTTAAAAAAAAATTAATACCTATAACATTTTAGGAAAGACATAAGCTATGCTACTTCAAATGTGGAAGGAAATCCCAAATGTTGGAGACTCCCAGGAGTCCCTGGCCATCTACCTAAATATTATATTGTGCGCCCAGGCCTGTGCTCGGTATTATGGTTGGCAGATAAAGAATTTGCGGCTAAAGTCATTATTTTACCAGTTTTTATCATTATAGCAGTAAATTCAGCATTTACTGTGTATCAGACACCTATATTATTAAATGCCTTAGCCTATATTAATTCATTCAGTTTTCACATCAACCACTTGAATAACCCAGACAGAATTTCTAGACACTGGGAAAAATATTTCAATATCAGTATATGATAAAACTTTTAATATGAAACAGCTATTTTGGGTGATTTCTGGAGACTTTATATGTGAGGCCAGTGAACACTACACTGCACTTGTTATTGTTTCAAAATATCTTTAAGAAAAAATTCAGTTAATAAGAGAGAAGGCCTAACATTAAGAAAGAGATGTCCACACCTGTAATTCCAGCACTCGGGAGGCCGAGGCAGGAGGATTGCTGTGAATTTGAGGCCAGCCTGGGCTAATAGCAAGTTCAAGGGCAGCTTGCACAACATAGCAAAATCTTGTCTCAGACAAACAAACAAAAACAGAAAAACAAAAAGAAAGAGATATTAAAAACAAAAGTCTGAGAACGTAGCTCAGTGTGAAGTCCCTGGGTTCAATCATTCAACCTCCAGTACTGAAAGAGAGAGAGGTGAAGGATGGTGATTAAAATAATGCACTGTCGTTCTATTCAGGGTGTCAGGTCCCGAGAACGAGGTACCCATGGATGAATATAAAAGTAAGAAAAAAAGAAAACCAAGAGAGGCAAAATTCTGGGATCGGGGGCTTACAGCCTCCAGGACTGCCGCCCCAATTACCAATCTCAGTAACTCTTTATTCAGAAAGAACAAAAGAAGCAGCAGTGCAAATGGGAAGATCTCAACCAATTCAGCAAGGACAATAAATAAGGCTTGACTAATTAGCCATCATATTATCATTCCTTAGGGGATATCTCAGCAAAGCATTCAGTGTTGACACCGGGGCTTTCAGTACTTCTGCTAGACTTCCTCCAGAACCCAACAATCATGGCTAGGTCAGGCTTGAGGTAATACACAAAAGAGTAAAGCATGTCCTTCTCCACAATGCATAAAACTTTACCTGTTTGAAAGTTTTCATGAAATAAATTATTTTCTAGAAAAAAATTACCAATACTAGATCTACAAGTTGAAAATCAAATAATCATAGAAGAAAATTAAGGTAGTCTTTGGTTCCTTTCAGAAAGTTCTAATTATTTTATATGACTTTTATTATTTTTCTAGTTAGTGTATTACAGGTTTATGGAGGAGCTATAAAAAATAACATTACAATCATTCATAACCCTGCCGCCCAGAAATAACTGTATATTGTTTATTCATGTCTTCCTGCCTTGCTCTACCTACTTGCCCCTTTGAGTCAATCCATCTTCCTCCCTCATACAGTCATGTAGAAATGTATACAGACAGCCATAGGAGTTTGTTTGTTCTAATACACGCACTGCACACATTGTTCAGCACTGTTTTTTTAAAGCCCTCTACTGGGCCAGCATACATCTAATCCCTTGCTTGTAACTGTGTAGTCCTGCTAGCCATGCTTCCCCCTGTTTTGTCTGTCTACTTCTGCACTAATATATAACAGAAAATGCCCCCCTCCCCAACTCCCCAGCCAGTATACTTCAGTTTCTTAGTTGCTCAGGTAATAGCTACTGAGCAAGTTTGGTTACTTCTTGTCTCTTAAAAAACGACTGGTCACTGCGATGCGTAGCTGGTCACTATAATGCATATTATATAAACTGATCCCCAACTGACAAGCCATTCTGCCTCTGTACTTCCTGCTTGCTTATCCAATATAAGCTCTAGACCACCAGAGATCAGGGTCAGATATTCTGGAAATGATCCTGATCAGTGTCCATTGACATAAATAAATTTGCCTCCAAATCCTGGGTGTTGCTTCAGTATTTCTGCTTGCCTTTGCATCTGGTATGTTGTCCAGGAAGACCGACCATGCCGACCTCTTTGGTCACTGCTCACGGCCCTCGTTGACAGAGCAAGGACCTCTTCAGGTCCTGATGGGAAGGCATGCCTTCGAGATTTCTTAAGTCCCCTTGGAGGTCTGGAGGATTCCTGGCCATCGGACCCCAAAGGGAGGAGGATACAATCTGTTTGACTGCCTGCCTGATTCCGGTAAGATCCCTGGGGGCACCCCACTTAGTCTGTCAGTCTTACTCAGTTCAAGCAGAAGAAGAGCTTGATTAACTCTTGTTAGTTAAGGCCACCCTTAAGAGAAGGAGAGTTGAAATATTTAACCTCTGCACCAGGGATATAGCTCAGTGGCACAAGCACCTGCCTGGCAAGCGCAAGATCTTGAGTTCGATTCCCAGTACCAAAAAAAAAAAAAAAAAAAAAAAAATTAACCTCTGAGTGCCTGCTGAATAAATATATAAATAAGTGAAATGGACAGCATAAGCAGTAGGCTGCTCCGTCTGTGCACCAAGACTGGGAAGCACTGGTTGCAGTGGCTAATTGGGCCCTCACTGGCAGTTCCATGGGGATCAACATATGGCATTATAGAAGCCTCACACCCTCCTCAGCTAAGTTACACCTAAATGCCTGCAAGGGGCGCAGCGAGATGGCCATCTGAATGGTCTCTCTGAGGGTCACCCACCCTTTGTCTGTTGCACCATCATTCAAGGGTATACAACATACACTGTAGGGAAATAGAATAGGAACTAATTAGTTAAAACCTACAGTCCCTGACTGCAGGAAAAGGGGCTTTTATGGAGTTAAAAATAAAACGAAAGTGCTCCCTGCATCTCAAAAAAAAAAAAAAAAAAAAGGCCCATTCTTCCTGAAAATTCTGCCTTAGCACCCTCATCAGCTGCCACAGATGCCGCCAACACCTAAAGCTTCACTCTCTGCTCCCGACTCATCTACTTCCAGCCAACTGAACTGGTTCCAGCTGGCCATGGCCTGCATTTTGCCACAGAGGCCCTCCCTCCAGAGCCTCTGCTTACACGCCTATCCTGATCATGGGGTAATGATGGGGTAATCTAACACCCACCCAAGGTGACTGTCAACAATTCCTTCTAAGTTCCACATTTTGACTAACGAAAAATTGGACTGTCAGCCCTGACAAATGAGTTATGCCCTGTCAGGCCTGAACAGATAGGACATAATGAGCTCTATCAAATTGGGCCCCCAAGAGCCTAAGGTCATTACAAAAGCTGGGAGTAAACCTGTGACTTTCCTGGTAAACAATGAAACAAAACTTTCTGCCCTCCAAAGTTCCCTCTGTCAAAAAGTTATCATCAGTGGGACAATTGGGACTCTTGCCTCTCACCCCTTCTGCCTGGCACAAACTGACAGGCTGGGAGGACATCCCCTTCACACCAAGCCAGTCAGCTTCCCTCTCATGTAACCCTGCACTTTCAACTTTGACTGTCCCCCAAGACAAAGATGATGCCTGCATCAGCCTGATAACCACAATCCTGAAAGTTCTGGAAACTCTCCTCCCAAAGGTATAAACTAAAGACCTGCCTCCGGACCTGGCCATCAATCATGCCACCTCACCATGACCCCCGCTGCTGTCAGATGTCACAGGAAGCACAAACAGGCATCCAGCCACACATCAGCCGGAGAGATTGTTAATCACCTCAGGCAAGATCTCTGTGCCATCAACAACACAGCCATCACCTTGCACTCTGCGGTTGCCGACCCATACACCCTTTTTGAAATGTTCTAGGCTTAAAAGATGCCTCCTTCTGCTTGTAAGTTGCTCCCATAAGCCCCTTCAACTGAGAAAATCCTGAGACAACAGGCCAGCTCACTTAGACTCAATTGCCATAAGGGGTTAAAAACTGTCCCACTATTTTTCAGAAAGCCCTAGCAACAGATTTGGCTCCAAGACAGTGAGTTCTCTGTCCCTTCCAGTCCATCATGGTCCCTTGAAAAATAAAATGAGGCTTCAAAGCCACAAAATGTTTACAGTCTATGAAACTGCTAAAATAAACCCCTCCTGCCTGTAAAGCCAGCTCAGAATCTCTGAGCTGCCAATGGCACTGCAATTGCCCTCCGTATATATTGCCTCAGTCTTCTTCCACTGACAGCCTGCTGGTACACCTGCCTGGACCTAAAAAATGCCTTCTTCTGCCTTCAGTTGGCTCCTATAAGCCAGCTCTTCTTCGCCTTCAAATGAAAAGACCCGAGTTCTGGACTAAAAAGCCAACTAACCTGGACTCAACCTCCCGAAGGTTCAAAAACTTGTTTCCTCTTTTAAAAAGCACTTCTGATTAATGATGCAAGCTGCCTGCTGAAAGACCCAAAAGCTCTGATGCAATATCTGGCAAAAACAGGTTACAAAAACAAAAAAACAAAACAAAACAAAACAAAACAAAACAAAACCAAAAAAAAACCCTCCACAAATGTCTTAAAGTTGCTTGCTTCTATATAATCTGAGTCCTTAAATTCACAAAAGCAATGATGCTTACTCAGACCGTCAGCCCCTGGGAGCGTCTACCTGTACAAAAACTTAGATACGGTCACTCCCCACTTTGTCTCCTCACTCCAAGAGCCTCCTGCTGATCAAAAAAGCTGGCAGGCTCACCTTGGGCCAGGACCTAACTGTCAAGGTGCCATATGCTGTGCTGCACCTCACCTAGTACCAAGGACTCTGATGCAGAAAACCTCACCTGACTCTTGTAATGAT